GTGGTGTCCCTGATGTCTTTTCTCCTTAATAAAAACACAAAATGTTAATCTCTTTCCCTTTCGTGGAAAAGTATCTCCATGGCCCCCTTCTGGCCTATATTGGGATTTTCTTACGCTTTTTATTATGCAAATATTACCTGCAATGCCTTGAGCTTTTCATTTTTACATGCCAGTTTTGCTAGTGGATGTAGTTATGTTTAATATACACAGATGTTTATATCCCGACAGGAAAATTCCTGGATCTTGTTTTCTCTCAAAATCATGAGTTTATATTTTCCTTCTCGATGATGGGTAGAAGCCAAACTTTGAACTCAAGGTATGTGAAAATTGGGGTCCAAGGGTAACTAAATTTTCCATTTTGTTCAAAAACTTTAGGGAGGCTTTCAGCAAGCCAGTCTGTAGTTTGAACTCAATTCCAGTTAAATATACGTAGGATCAAACTGCCCAGTGACTTTATAATGTCAGGTCCAGCGTAAGGTAATCTAATGTGTGGATACTCCAGATGATTAATTCCCAATAAGGACTGCATTTTAGTGGGTGTCAGTACTTTATTCCAATTCCCTTTCCCTTCTCATTTTTTACATCCTATATATTTTGTTTTTGGGAGGGAAGGAGGGAAAGACGAGCTCTTTTAACATAATTTCATCCACTTCTCCAGTCTTGTCCGGCTGGTGACCTCCAGTTCTAAAAACAAAAAACAAACAAAAAAAACCCCACACCTTTTTAAGGCTTCAAGTGAGTTCAGGACAAGCTACTGATGGAGGTCAAGATTGCAGAGGAAGGACATGTAGAAACCTATGGGTGTATCTACACTGTACAGTTCTAGCAGTTTGATTCCACTGCTGTGGCTTCATTCCGGGATTGCCAGTTAGAGTCTTAGCATTAGAACCTACAGCACAGAATTCTAAGTAGTTCAACAAACTTTTGCCCCCCTGGATTCCATAGGAAGAAGCCATGGCAGTTAAATGGAATCAGACTGCTGTAACTGGGTATACATATTATCTCAAAATGAAGAAAGAGTAGTGTCCAGTGAATGTTTGCTAGGCCACAGAGAAGAACTCTGGAGGATAGATCCACCCTGTAAAGTTCTAGGCACCTTAGCGGCCAAGCCAGTACTGGTGAATTAGTCAGGATGGGATCTGGCAGTGAAACTGTCAGTCTCAACAGTGAGCACATGTTTAGCCCATCCTCATGCAAAATGACCATTTAAAACACTATAATCATTATCAGTATGTTTAGTATATTTTTAAAAAGGTAACAAAATAGAAACTTTAAAGTTGTACATTAATACTTACTTCTAGGTGCAGATTCCCCTTCCCTAACAATGGGTGGGATCTGTGTGCTTAGACGCAAGCACCTGCACCTAGTGACAGGTGATGGTCACTACTATAAAGTGATTAAGGGTGGTCCTGCAATGGGGGAAAATCCATAATAAAATGTTATTCTCCAACTGTGGTAGTAGCAGTAAGACATTGAAAGGTGTTCTATCACATCTCATACGTAGCAGCTGAACAGCTTGGGTCCAAGCAATCTAAAAGACCGTACAGTGGTGCCCCGCATGACAACGATAATCCATCCCACTGAAATAACTGTTTAGCGAAATCATCCTCATGTGAAATCATCCGTTTCCCCACTGGAATGCATTGAAACCCAATGGGGAAAATACCTCGTTGTCCAGCGAAGATCGCCCATAGGGAAGCCATTTTGCGAGCGCCGATCAGCTGTAAAAATGGCTGTCCTGCGAAGAATGGATCTGGAAAACACAGGGCAGCCATTTTGCGAAGCCAACGATCAGCTGTAAAAATCATCATCTTGCGAACAAACGGTCCGCGAAGCACAAACCAAATCAACGCCCAGCGAAATTCCCCCATTGGACTGACTGTTTTGCGAATCGCTATAGCAATCGCAAAAAGTCATTGTTATGTGGATTCGTCATTTTGCAAGGTACAACTGTATTCCCTTTATGAGCCTACTTAGGTATTAAGATCAAATCATCGTCATGCGAAATCCGTTTCCCCATTGGAATGCATTGAAACCCATTTAATGCGTTCCAATGGGAAAAATACCTCATCGTCCAGCGAAGATTGCCCATAGGGAAGCCATTTTGCGAATCGCTATAGCAATAGCAAAAGTTATTGTTATGTGGTTTCGTCATTTAGCGGGGTCATCGTCTTGCGAGGTACGACTGTATTCCCTTTATGAGCCTACTTAGGTATTAAGATCATCAGGAAAGGCCTTTCTCTCAGTTCTAACTCCCATACAGGTGTTTTTGGTAGGGACATGGGAGATGGTCTTCTGTGTCGCTGCTCCCAAACTCTGGAACTCCCACCCACAGGAGGCCAGGCTGGCCCCGTCTTTCCTATCCTTCTGCAAGCAGGCAAAGATCTTTCTCTTCAGGCAGGTTTTCCTTTAAATAATGGGTTGAGGGGATTTTTAAAAGGGATTATTTTATTCTTGTTGTTTTACTTGTGTTTTTAATATTGTTCTTATTATAAGTGTTAATATATCTGTTTAATGCTTTTAAATATTGCAATAATCTATTATTTAACTTTTAATTTTGTTTCTTTTAATACTGTAAGCTGCCTTAGATCTTTTAGGAGAAAGGCAGCATACAAATAAAGAAATGGTATCTGGGCAAAACCATTCTATCAGGGTAGACAACTGACTCAAAAAACTACCAGTGAATCATTATGGGACAACACCACAGATTTTGCACAATAAACTGAAGACATCTAAGAAGAAAAGCACTGTCTACAATGTATTATCTCCCCTAAATATGAAGGTATTCAATGTGGCGTAGTGGACAGAGTGATAGACTAGGAGTCAGGAAGCCTGGGTTCAAATCACTGCTTAGCCATGGAAACTCACTTTGTTTGCGGAAATGGTAAAGCCACTCCTTAAATATATCACTTAGCTTGAAAAAGTATTAAGGTTGCTATAAGTCAATTTTGACTTCATAGCACATAAAATACACAAATAAAAAGTGTAATTTAATTTTGAAAAATCATTCAGAAAAATGCATTATTGTAACATAAGCATGAGACTGGGGAAAAGCACATGCACTTCCTCAAAGACCTTTACTATGCTTCCCATGAGCGTGTAGAATAATCTCCATTAATTGACATCCTTTCCCCTTTTATTATCCGTGCAAGCAACAAGAAAGGAGGAATCTGTGTCAGGATTGTGGGGGAGGCATAAAGAGAAGTTTGTTTGTGTTTGTGGCCACCAAACCCCAAGTCAGCATCACATGCAACTCTTAAAGCTAAAAATGCTGTGCATGTCTGTTATAACACAACACCTTTAACTCTAATCTATAAATATCATATAATAGAAAGTTGTACACCAACACATTTCCTATGGAGGAAACATCAAATACTAAATTCCATGAGACCAACAGATAACAATAGAAACACATTTTTATTCTAATCCATGAGTTTCAGCCTCCAACTCACAACTCTGGTCTGCTTACAAAAGTCTTCAGCCTCCAACTCACAACTCTGGTCTGCTTACAAAAGTCAAATACAAACTCACAGCATAAACCCAGAACTATACATATAATTATACAATAACAGAAGCAGACATAAGCATAACATAACAAACATATTATGGACAGTGACTGCTAAATAAAAAAACAACAAGGTAGATTAGGAAATCTCTCAGATGGGGAGGACGTTCCTGAATGCCTCTTTGAATAGCACCATTTCAGCCTGCTTCCTGAAGGACAGAGGGGAGGAAGCTTGGTGTACATCAACAAGCAGTGAGTTCCACAGTGTTGTGGCCGCCACTGAGATTGTCCTGTCTGTGGTAATTGTTTTCCACGCTTCCCTCAGGAGAGCCACTCGCAACAATAAAACCTGGTATGTTTGGGTGGGTCTGGATACAAGATCTTAGGGAGAGGTGCTCCAAGAGGTCCCAAACCATTTAGGGCCTTATAAAATTAGCACTTTGAATTTGGCATAGAAGCAGACACAGAACCTGCATTTTGCACCTACTGCAACTCCTGTATCACTGTCAGAGACAGCCCCATATAGAGAGCATTGCATAGATTTTTCATAGCAGCAAGCAGCAGATACTCAGGAAAAAATATTAACCGAGCCTATCACATAGCTAAATATTAATCTGAATTCTTGCCATTATTTCAGCCCCTTGGGGGAATCTCACCATTTCAACACTACTATGCAATCTTGGGTGGAAAAGTGTTTAAGATCAAAAGCACTTTCCCCCTCCATTTCCCCACCCCATATACACAGAATATCTAAACAGTGAAGTTAAGAACAGCTCAAGTTCTCAGTATACCATATTTATTGCTCTATAAGACGCACTTCCCCCCCAAAAAAGTGGGGGGGGAGTCTGTGCGTCTTATGGAGTGAAGCTGGTGATTTTGCCCCCACTGGCCCTGTGGGGGGTTGGGGGGGGGCCTCCCAAGGGTCCAAGTCTGCCTTCCAGGACCTCAGAAAAGGTCCTGGAAGCTGACGATTTTGCCCCCACTGGCCCCGTGAGGGGTGGGGTGGGGGAGCCTCCCAAGGGTCCTGGAACACACCCTAGGACCCTTAGGAGGCTCACCCTGCCCCCCCCACAGGGCCAGAGGGGGCAAAATCGCCACCTTCTGGGACTCTTTTGAGGCTCAGGAAGCTTCAAAAGAGTCCCTGAAGGTGGTGATTTTGCCCCCTCTGGCCCCCAGGGGGGCACGGTGAGCCTCCAAAGGGGCCTAGAGTGTGTTCCATAAGATGGACCTATCCATAAGGCTCACCAAATTTTTAGGGGAAGAAAGCAGATTATTATTTTCCTGTTTTCTTCTCCTAAAAATTTGGTGCGTCTTATGGAGAGGTGTGTCTTATGGAACGAAAAATATGGTAAGCTTTTGGTTGCTGGTGAATTCTGTTACTACAGATACTCCTACCTGCAGTAGAAGTGAAGGGAGAGTGAAGTGTTGGATAACTCCGTGGTTTATGTCTCTGGCTGTATCTTCACACGAGATCAACTCAGTATTGGGAGGAGTGATTACATATATGGATTGATTCCCATAATGACGTACCAGCTTGTTTTAGGTAGAAAGCCAAATATAAACCTTAGAGAAAATGTACTAGAATGTTTCTCTTGTTTGGGAATAACCTTCAAAGAGGACATGGGGAAATATACAAGCCTCCCCATAACTGTGCGTATTATTATGGTTTGGTCATCTGGATTATTGGGCCTTTTATCAAGTATTTTAGTGACACAAAAATAATGCTGATTTAATGACTGAAAATGGTTTATTTAACGTTCTAGACTCTCTCTCCAGCCTTTGGGAGGCAGCATCCTCCACAGAGGGAGAAACGCAGAGAAATGGCTTGAATGAATTTGCATGTGGGGAGAGAAAGATAGGTTGGGGGAGAGGGGTACAATGTTTTAAGATGGCATTGAGTCAAACTGATGAATTTTCGAGATCCAGATTCTTGCCTGGAGAATCTGAGGAAGGATTAGCAGTTGTGGTGCTTGCTGAAAACTTGCTTCTGCTCTGCTGTGCTTGGATATCTGAAATAAAATAAATGGTACACCCTACATGCCAAGTAGTCTGCATCCCTGGATTTCTCATTGTAAACATTTCCGTAGTCAGTGACAGTTCTTCCAGAGAAATCCAAAAGATGAACAAATATTTATTTCATGGATGAGCTAAGGCACATCATGACAAAGCTGCTGTGCCTCAGATGACTGCAAACACCAAAGTTCTGACCTTTGGTGTTCCTTGAAGATCCCACAGTATTTTTGCAAGACTACAGGTATTAAATATAGTTTGTGGCCAAATTCCAGCTGGGGTAATTATATTCTGTCTTAAATCTATTGTGTGGCTCCAACTTCTAAATAGTATTCTGCACTTCCTGATACTTTAAAACTGTGCTGATTATACAGAGAATGTAATTGGACTTGAAAACATAGTCATTATATTTAAGGAAAATATATACTAAACATATATGGCAAGTGAAGTGTGCTGGAGTGGTTATTGGTTCCAGCTGGGGTAATTATATTCTGTCTTAAATCTATTGTGTGGCTCCAACTTCTAAATAGTATTCTGCACTTCCTGATACTTTAAAACTGTGCTGATTATACAGAGAATGTAATTGGACTTGAAAACATAGTCATTATATTTAAGGAAAATATATACTAAACATATATGGCAAGTGAAGTGTGCTGGAGTGGTTATTGGAAACAAGGATCAATTGGACTTGAAAACATAGCCATTACTGTATATTTAAGGAAAATATATACTAAATGTATATGACAAGTGAAGTGTGCTGGAGTGGTTATTGGAAACAAGGATAGGCTAGATTTGAAGACCAAGTTGTAGCCCTGCAAGATGCTCTGGGCTAAATTATCTAGAATGGCCATCCTGTGTTTTAAAATATCAGTGTTATTTTTCACAGAAAGAATGGCCATTCAGGTGCATGTTCACCATTAATGCCACACAAGCGTTTTCAAGCTTGATCTGTAACTCTAATATTCTTCTAGTGTTTGACTTGAGAGAGGGATTATGTGTATACATTCAACATCTCCCCCTCACTCCGTATAACAGTCATGAGCCTCTCATATTTGGACAAAATAAATACATAATCAAATAAACCATTTTACATATATTATGCAGGTGTGCAGAGTGGTTCAGTATTTCAGATAGGGACTGAGACAGAGCAAGGTAGAAGTTTGCTGGCAAATTCACAGCTGAGACAACATTCAAATCAGATGCTTCTTGACTTCTGGCAAACATGTAAGCCACTATATGATGTCTGCTTGCTACAATGGCTTGTAGAAAAAGCAAACTTAGTCTTAAATTACGTATACTTCTGAACTTAAGGTCAAACTATACTTAAAACATTTCAAAAAAGTTGTACTTTGAATGGGGAAAGTCATCAGGATTTTTTTTTGCCAATGATTAGTTTCACCTTTGCACTTGAATGGGGAAAGTCATCAGGAGTTTTTGCCAATGATTAGTTTCACCTTTGCATCTTGTATTTAGTGTGCCTTGCTTTGTGACTGGTCGTTTGGAAGATAAGCAGGCTTAATTTGCATGCCTGATAGCTAAGTCATGGATGTGAAGGAGTTCATTTTGTTGGAGGAAAAACAGGTTAATCACCCGGAACAAAAGTCAAATTTGACCCCAGTACACTGGAAATGATCTGTGTTTGCAGATACCAGTAAATGTTGTGGAATGCAAAAGTCACCTTAAACGGGCTAAACATATCCCTATTTATATGGTATCATATGAAACAAACAATATTTCTTAATAGGGTACAATGAACTTCATCAAGTGACAGAGGAGGACGATATGGAAAGAGCTAACATTAGCTTTTTCTAAATCAATTCCTGATAACAAGTGCTAGGTTTCAGTAACATCTGCCAGGATCCCAAGCTTATGGAGTCATTTGTACCTCAGGTGCCATCATTACAGTTTGGAAATGTTAACTTTTGGAAGCACAACTTTCAGAATTCCTTAGCCTGCATGACCAATAAGAATTCCAGGACTTGTAGTCCAAAAAACCTTCATCTCTTTCAAACTCTAGAAAACACTGATGTAAGAACCCACAGAGATGGGCTTCTACACTTGACTTGTTATAACCACTAAACCATCTCAGCACTGAATGAAATTACCCCTGCTAGCCATGACTTTGTCAGTCTGCTTTATCCTTTCCTTCAATCAGTCCTAACCCCAGGAATTCCACGGTAATGAAGCCTCTCCAAATCAGCTTTGTTTTGTTTTCAAAGCATCAAGACAGTATTTGTTGGGAGAGAAGAAAATTTAAATGCCTTTCAAATTGAGCCAAAGTTTCCTTACCATATATAACTCACATAGATAGAACAGAAAAATAAAGACAAAACAAAAAAAAGAGACCTCATGGACACTACATCCCCCCTAATTTCAATAAATATAGCAGCTTCTTTCTTTCTTTTTTCTTTCTTTCTAAAAATAACTATTTCAGAAACTATTCTACTCCTAATACTGAAGAAAAAAATTAGTTATTTATAAATCTTCACCAAAACAACTGTAATGGAGGAAATGGAGGCAAAGGAGATAGAGGGGGCTGACTTTTTTTCAGCCCCACCCCAGACCTTCATGTTTATAATAAGGATTCTTTGAATTCAACCTCCTCCCTCACCACACAGTGTGAATAGTGTGCACAGATGTATAACCAATTAACCAACTCAATTTGCAAAAGTTATTTGAATTCATTTATTTCTGATTGTTTTAGGGATTTGTGGATGCGGAGAAATGTGGCAAGATTTACATGAGTTATCTTGCAATTTCCAAAGAAGTAACTGTTAGTTTGTCTCAGCATATTGGCTAAACAAAGAAAAGGCAAAATATTGTACCACTAACAGATTTATCTAAGAGTTTGAATGCTCCCATTTCCACCTCCTGCCATTTAGAATTTTCCAGATGCTGTAGGCTGAAAAGCCAAGGATGTCAGAAGTTTCATTCATGTTTCTACTTCAGACTATTTATGCATGCTTTATTTTGGCAAATGTGGACTGCAACACTTGGTTTGTGGCTGGTAACAGATGTTATTTATGAAACAGATTCTTTTTTAGGTTTCCTAATGCCTTTATTCATTAAGAAATAGGTTGAATTTGATTTTTAGAATTTATTCAGTACTTGGCACAAATCTCACTTTCATCCAGTGACAAAAAGACACATAATAGGAAACCACTTGGTCATCCGGATTCTGAGATATAAAATACCCCTTTTGCATAGCCTGTTTCAGTATGATCACAGAACAGACAGAATGTCAGTATACTAGCATAAAGTACTGTATATGCAAGAATATAGACTAATTTAGCATGATTGCATGATGAACTCAGAAATTTCAGCTATTCATGTGCCATCAAGTTTGAACCAATTTACAGCAACCCTAATAGAGCTTTCAAGGTAAGTGAGCTGTTTAATGAGTTTACCAGTTCCACCACCACCCCTTCAGTGAATTTCTGTGGCCAGATGGGGATTTGAATCCAAGTCTCTATCATTCTATCCAATATACCACATTGGATATCTCCCAGGTTTATTTCCCAACATTTCTCTCAAAATCAATTTGTGTTAAGGTATTTCTCATAATTGCACCTTCATCTGCATTTTAGTAGCATGGATCTCAGAACTATGAAGTTTCTGTGAAGATGCTTTGAGAAAGAGAGGCAAACAGGCATGACAAAGAGTAACAGAGGACATCAACCACCACCACCCCACCATACGAGTGCCATGGCTGGAGATGTTTATAGCCTTCAAATGGCAATGCTGATGAGTGCTGCTACTCTTATACCAAACATTCTCAGAGGCTTCTTTAGTAAAAATGGGATGGGGCGGGGCATCCTAAAGAAGGAGAAACTACATTTTTTGGAAATTACCACCTAACCCCTGGCTGTTATCCTGTGATGCAGGCAAAACTGTTGATGAAAAAGCTGAGAAAACTATATTGGGCAACAGCTTCACTTTCGTTGTGTGATACATCCTTTGTGATGCAAAAGAAACAGTGTCCTTCTGTCATCTTGAAAGGGATAAAGGGTGCTTTCAGCTGAATGCTTCCTAGCAGGGACGCTGTCTTTGCCTCCTTAATAAATTTTCCTTGGCAAGTAAAAAGATGGCAGAAGCAGTGAAAAAGTAATGAGAGTTACCAAATGGAACAAAGTGATCTCTGAATCCTCATAAAATTACATTAATGAAGCTGCATTGTTTCACAGGAAAGGCCTCAGTTTGATAGTAGAAGAATCAAGCACAGATCTTCATCCATCCTGAAGTATAAAACTGTATTACCAAACAGACCTGCCACTATTATGGTTCAAACTAGAGTTTCTGCTAATTAGTTGGTTTATTATATCAATTTCTGCAGCCCACAACACTCAGCTGTGTTATTTATTGCCATTTTCCCAGTCAGAATACACAAGATTATGCCAATGTAGTCAGGCTGGCCAGGCTACCTTGTAAGTGTATGGATGATGTTCTTTCATGTTAGCTCTGTACTTTTCAGTGAAAGTGAAAACAATGCACTAATATAATTAGTATTGTATAATAATATTAT